TTAATGTATGTTGTACAGTGAAACTGGGCAGCAGGGAGAAAGGTGGGTTTCTTGCTTTGTCTTGGGTGCCCTCGTTGGACAAAACTCTTCAGGAGGAGGGATTGCTGCTGCTGCCCAGGGAGCAGGGGGCACATCGAACCGCCGGCAGCTTGTGGTGACAGGGTGAGGCAAGCGAGAGGGAAAGATGGGGGATGAGACCCGGGAGGTGTCCAAGGGGAGCAGGAGGTGCCTGGGCTGCCAGCCTGCTGGAGAAGAGCAGGTACAACAGAGAAGCAGAAATGAAATTCCATCAAGTCAAAGTGACCTCAGATCTACTGCCTCTGCTGAAGAATCACAGCAGTGCAATGTCTGCCTTCGCTAGGCTGGGCACAAAGGGAAGATGCAAGGCCTAGAAGAGCTCCATCTCCTTCTTCCAGAAGCCCAGATGTTTAAAAAGAATTTAGATCTCTCCTCCCTAAGTCTTCTTGGGGTTTCCTAACCAAGTTATTCTTGCCAATGCACATTTTCCTCTTCCCTTATCTCTCCTATTTGACTTCTACATCAGATCCAAAATCAGAACCATTATCCAAAGTGCAATAATTTTTTCATTTTTTCGGTCATCTTCTTGTATACCCTTCTGAAGAAGAAATATGTTAAATCCCAACTTTTTCTTTTTTTTTTTTTCTCTAGCAAATTTTTAGGTCAGGAGTGATGGTTAAACCTGCAAATACATCCTCTTCCATATCTGGTTAATTCTTTCATTCTTACATGTAGACACAGCTCTAGCCTAACAGCCCAGATAAATCCCTGGATTATCTGAGCATATGCTATAAGCATGATAATAAACTGGATTATTAAATTCAGTATTATGGAGTCATTTGATCTCCAGTAGTGATTGTCCATTCATATAAGATACTGACAGAGTAGGTGGATATGGAGGATTACTTAAGTATAGACCCACTATAAACACCTGTAACTTCTTTATCAGAACATGGCTATTTTTCAAGAATTACTTGAAGAGATCCCTATAAAAGTTGTCAGCTTCTTTTCTACAGAGCCTCCAAAGAATAGTTTTTGTGACCTTATGTAGGACTTGGGACTAGAATTTTTTTCCTCTCTTGGATAGTTTGTTGGTTTGGGGTTTTTTACTGGTTTGTGGGTTTTTTTGTGGCTTTTTGTGTTTTGTTTTTTTTTTTCCAAACCCTCAGATTGATCTAGAGTAGTCATACCTCAGTCTCTTTGAGATCTAGAAACACATATTGATTACAACCCCTTCTTGTTTTCACATGCACCCTATTCTATAGTGTCTAGTAGTGCAAACAACCATTGAGAGACCAAGGGAAGACTGGTTTCTTTTAGTTCCTCAGAAATAGGATAAGGAGGTGTTTCAGGGAAGAAAGTGTTTTGTTTTTCCTCTTACAAAGAGGAAAGAGGAACAAATTTTCAGCTACCGTGGCTCAATCCTAGAATGGTTTGGATAGGAAGGGACCTTAAAGATCATCTAGTTCCAGTCTCCCTGCCGCAGGCAGGACCACCTTCCCCTAGATCAGGTTGTTCAAAGCCTCATCCAACCTGGCCTTGAACACTTCCAGGGATGGGGCAGCCACAACTTCTCTGGGCAACCTGTTCCAGTGCCTCACCACCTTCCTTGCATCTAATTGAAAATCTCCCCTCTTTCAGTTTAAAGCCCCTTGTCCTATCACTACATGCCCTTGTAAAAAGTCTCTCTACAGCTTTCTTATAGGACCCCTTAAGGTACTGGAAGGCTGCCAGAAGGTCCATATCAATGCTAATTTTGGCAGAAGCTATCCATATTCACAAGACTGCTTATGAAAAAAAAAAATCCAAAGAAACTGATGAAAGCATTTGTTTCTGAAGGTCAGCAAGTATCAAAGCAGTCCCTAAGGGCTGCCTTTGACTTTCCACAATCTGCAGTGAGAACTCCTGCTTCTGCAATTTCCATTAAGCAGTCTTGTTTGGCTTTCTAATCATCTGGACTTCTTCCAGAAATCAAAGCCAAAGTTGAGATCCTCCTTTTTTGAAGGAGAAAGTCTTTTCAGCACACCAAGTAAGTTTTTGAACACATAAAGAAGTGAATATGTAGACAGGTCTCAATTTACCAACAGTCCATGAGAAAACAGACAAGTGACACCATTGTTACCAGAGTCATGAAGATCTTTTCTTCTTCTCTCTACCAGAGCACACTATCCAGTGCCTCCCTGCTGCTGGCATAAAGCTGCATGTCTCACACATTTTTAGAGGATCAAATCTGAAAAGCTGCCCTTAGGAGTACTACTCCTGCTTTTACAAAGCATTGTACCTACTGGAACAGTACTGAGGAACTGGAACAGGCTGCCCCAGAGAGGTTGTGGATGCCCCATCCCTGGAGGTGTTCAAGGCCAGGTTGGATGAGGCTTTGGGCAACCTGGTGTAGTGGAGGATTTCCCTGCCCATGGCAGGGAGGTTGGAACTAGGTCTTTAAGGTCCCTTCCAACCCTAACCATTCTATGATTCTACCTTCCTTCTCAGTTTGCTAATTATATAATGACCTTTTAATTAGGAAGCCATACAGTGCGTTCTTCTATGGCACCATGCCTTGTTATCCCTCAAGATGGGAAATATGCAGGAACCATCAGAACAAGAGAAAAATGACATATTTTCAGATTTCTAAGCGAACTCTACCCATTCTTACACATGCCTACCCTCCCAGCCTCCTCAGAGTGCAGTGTGCAGTGACTGCTGAGAGGCAGTGCAGCGGGGCGAGGTACAGGCACATGAAAGAACATACTATGATTCCCCTCTTTTCCTCTTGGTACTCTGGGCTGATATTCTTTCATCCTACCCACCAGCAAGCATTTGGCTCATTTACCTTTACAAATTAACGCACCACTGTGTAATATCTATTCACTCATTTCTATTGCTGCTTTTACTGCCAAGGTTTTTATCTTCTCTGTTGAAAGCTGAAGCAAGCTAGCGATAATCCTGGAAGAGCAATACCCTGGGTACTCAGGTGAAGTTTCTTGTGCAGCTGCCTCTTTTGGTTAGTGTTTCTTACTAGTCAAATCACCTTCAGTCTTCCCTGTAACATCAACTGAGGAGCTACCTCCTTATCTGCTTATGCATTCACCCTCCTCCTTTAGAGATGGCTAGAATTATAGCAGCAATCATCTGAGCTCCTGCCCCTTTCCCAAGCCTGGCAATGTTCTAGTGCGAAGGACAGTGTTTCCCTACTTCTCCTCTCACTCTGCGTTCAGTCTTTTCTGGCCTCAGAACCACAGCCTGCCACTGCTGCTAGGAAGCAGTCTGCCAGGGGGGCAAGTGGCCTCTTCCTCGTGCCTTTTCCTAATATAGTTAAAAATCACAACTTTTGCTGCCTTGCTTTTCACAGATCAGTGTCCTTTGCTGTCCTCCCCATATTGCACCCATTCCTTCTACCCAGATAACTCCATTCTCTCCTTCCTCTTTTTCTATGAGCTCTTTTCTTCTGCAGCACTGCAGAACTCTGTTTTTGCTCCACTGAATGGTTTGTGCTTCCTCCTGACGGTCATGTTTTTCCTGTGGATCTCAAGTAATGAATTTCAAAAACACACCCTGCGTTTAGTTTGGGGTAATATTCATACCACTCAACTTTAGGTATGTTAAGTTCAGTATCTAGCCTGAGACGGCTGCTTACCTGAGGTCCCCCTCTAGTCTGCAGAGGGAGGAAGGACCTCCACAGAGCAATCCCTCCCCTTCTAAGATGCCTTTCTGAACAAGTAAGGTGAATCACACTCTGAAAGAGTCTAGAAGGGGAGCTTGGCTAGATGGGAATACCAAAACTGCTTCAAACTGTAAGTTATATTCATGGCCTCTTTCCAGCATACTTTCAAATCTGTCTCAGCTCCACTATTATCTTTAGCTTCATCTTGAGTCCTTCAGTCTTCTCTTCCATGAGGATCACCTGATATTTCAAAAATCAAAGGTTCTGTTGAATATCCCTTCAAGGAAGTTACACACCCCAGGGGCTCAAATCCCACCACCTTTGGTATCCCGCCACCTGGAAAATCTATAGCACTGCTTCAAGATAGATGACTCCTACTGATATAGGAGCCATCATCATCTTTTTTTCTAGTCCTCAGACTACAGGAAGGAATGATGAAAGCCCTCCAAACTTCCTACACTGAACTCCTACACCACCTTCTATATTTCTAAAAGATCAGTGTCATGGCAACTAGCACTTCTCATCTTCCCTTTGTAAGCTGACAAATCAGTTTAGAGGCATTCCATTACCAAGGCTCTTTATTTGCATTCTTCTAAAATAAGTTGCGTTGCTCCAAAAAGCCTGAAAGGTTTCAGCAAGTGCCGAATAAACTAAGTAGTTCATGTATAAATAATATATCAGCTAGCACTGCATTTTTAATGGCTGCATCACGAACATATTTTTAGATGGCCTAGGTTAGTCAGAACAACTCTGGCATCTGCTTCCTATTCCCATATAAGCGACTCCAGTTTCACAGTTCTGTGTCCATCTAAAACACATACTTGGACGTGGCCTTTTCAGCACTGCTTCCAGTACAGCTTTGCTGCTGCACAGGAGACCATCCCACTCCACAGGCGGCCTGCTGACCGTGGTGGGATGACTTCAGGGAAAAGGTGCTATTTGGAATTCTTACATACTTCCTCCAGCCCTTACCCACCCGTCTCTTCTTAAAAAGATAAGGGATTAGAGGTGTCAGTGTAAATCAGATTACACGCTGATGACAGCTTCTACTTGACCCTACCCCCACAAAACCAGGGACACAACACAGGCGTTAGAGAGCGTACAAGTCTGTCACTGGGGAGTCAGGCATGGAAGCCACCTGCTTGGGGAGCTGTCCCCTGCCTTCCAGGAGACAGGCTCACATGGGCTACAACTCCAGAAACACAGTGACCAGAAGCTGGGGAGCACCCGGCTCTTTTATAACCAGCAAGCAACCGAACCATGTCCCCCTCTTCTCCCCAAAAGGCTTCCACTTGCACAGGTGCCGGCCAGCCGGCCCCACTTACTCCTCTTTGCGGTGCAGCTCCTCCTCGGACTCGCTCAGGCGCTGCTTCAAGGCCGCAATCATCTCCACCGCCACGTCCACCTGCCTGCTCAGGGCCCGCTCCCGCCGCTGCACCTCCTGCTTCTTCTGGGACAGCTGCACGAAAGCCGCCCGCACCTCCAGCAGCTCCGCTGTCTTCTGGGCCAGCTCTTTGGTAAGCTTGTCGATCCGCTTCTCGATCGTTTTGTCCA